GTCAAAAATGCGTGTCAACCGGACAAGCGAACTCCCACGATTTCTCAACAGTCCGGTATAAGGTCAATACACAGTAAAAGGTGCTTCGGCTAGGCATGAAGCCACACTGCTTTTTTCAATTTTAGAGCCAGATATAACACTGCACCTCTATTCTAACAGTGCGTAGACTTTACCTACGAGTCTCAATAATATTAAACCCCGATAATTAGAGCACTCTATATGGCCTCCTTTCTGGAATGGGTATCACATTCTACAGTCCACTGGTGCTTTCCCGTGGCAAATGCAGTCTGACTGGCCCGTGTAAGCCACAACATGCTTTGTTCGCTTAAAGCTTTAAGCATTCGAAGGCGGATTTCATCCATTCCAGCAGCCTTGCTACCTTTCAAGCTTTCTGTGACTTCATTTACTGGAACTAATATTTCTTGATTGCTGCTCTTCAGGCGAATCTTTCTACAGTTGCTCTGTATCAAGAAGTTCCTCAAAGTACTCTTTCCATCCAAAATATCCCTCATCTTCAACCTGTAAGAGAGCGTCCAAACATGTCTGTTAGCACTCTTAGACTGTCTTTCTATCTCTGAAGCGGCTGATGGCATGTCCGTCTGAAATCGAGGTTAATATAAATTCACCCACAGAACTAGAAATCCAAAAAGCCTTGCCACGCATCAACTTGCAGGACTCTGAGGTAAATCGAATTCCTCCGGAGTCAGTGACGTATGGAGAAACGGAAATGGTATAAAAGCGCCATGTCGCGTTTCATCACATGTGAACCTGCAATCGTATCCCAGGAAAATAAAAGTGTGGAGTAACATTTAAAGAGGGTCGGGTGACCAAGTGTTCCAATTTCCGTAGTATCACATTACTGCTAACTCCGTTGAAACTTTTCTCCCGGATTATCCTAAAAATGCTGAAGAATGATGTTCATGGACGGCTCCACCAAAACCAAGCAGGCTTCTACAATTGGTACTTCTGCCCCGACAAAATTTTCACTCTGCGCGGGATTACTGAGTCATACCAACGAATCCATTTGCGCTGATTTATCTGTTTTTTTCAACTTTAAGGCTGCATTCGTTTCATTTCATCGTCAGACGATGTGTCTTAAAACACTACGGGATGCCTCG